AGCAATCATCTAGAATCCACCAACTCAAATTAAGCAAATCTGCCAAACCAACTTAATAATACTAGGCTTGTCGGACGATCGAACTTCAAGCCTGCTGCAGGAAGCACGGCACTCACGTGCGGGTCCTATCAATAGACACATCGATCTCCCGGATACCTTTCTCGTGTTGCGCGAACAATGGCAGATCTGAAGGTCACTCCCGGCAAAGCTGAGCTAAATATTTTGTGAGCTGTACTTTTTTATTCATTGACAATGGGCTCGTGTGAGAGTTTGAAACGTCGGACAAATAAACAACTGGTCCCAGAGAAGGCTTTACTGTCTTTTAAAACTTTAATATATCTAGAGCGCAGTGTCTGAGGGACTAAAATTCTGCCAATGAAACTGATGTATCAATTGAAAAGTCCTCGACGAGATCAACTGCTTGGAAACGGGTAGTTTTAGATGCATTTCTCATGCTCGATTGCACAACAAGAAATATGTCACGGTTGTGCATGAGGCAAGTGAGTTCGGACGATTTGGATGCAGCATTCGGTCGATCAGATTCCTAAGGAACACTCCGGCAATGTAGTATACTTCCAAATGTGATCTCCTTGCACGAGAAAGTAGCAAGATCCAGGTCTTAACGAAAGATGTGGAGACCGTCGTGGAAGTCATCCCAGCGTACAATTTATTTCTACATTAAAAGGAAAAAGAGACATCTTAGCGAATAAATTTTTGATCTTCATTGTAGGTCTCTGTTGGAGAAAAGTCATATCCACCTGAAGGATATCATGGACGAGCTGGGTCAGTGGAGAAGCGCTTCGCCTCTCCATGAAATGCGAATGAAAATCATCAGTGCGCCGAAGGCCAAACATTTCATGGAGTATTATCCCGAGCTGGCTGAAGCTCCGCAATTTCCGCTGGGACGCTTGCCAAGTCACAGCCAGTCCGGCAAAGATAAACGCAGAAAATCGACAAAGCGGTCGCAAAGTGGGCCTACGCAGCTCTCAGTACTGACGCAGATCGGACGTGACAGTAACCAATTCGCTAGTGAGGTGCACAATGTCAAACTTCGAAGGCTTGATACGGGACCGAGTATCTATATCAATCCCGAGGAAGCAAACCTCAAGCCTTATGCCATTATGAGTAGCAACTACGTGAATAACGCTTCACAGGGCCGTCTTGCTAACGCATCATCTCGAAAGGCAGTCAACGTTCGCAGGCAACAGGGCATTGTAAAACGGGACCAGGCTTGTAGTCCCACCAGAGATCCATCCGGAGACTGTCCTCTGTGTCATCAGCCAACAAAGATAGCACCTGGACGGACCCAGCGCTATTCTGAACGACGCTACTACGACGAAGCAGAGGCTCTGTATAGCGGAACGGAGATGCAATCGATGATTGAATTTCATCAGATTTCCGAGGAAAAACCCTCAGTCCCCTCCTCCGATTTTTTGATTTGCAAACGCATCCAGGTAGGTTATCCCAGCCTGAATCCAAAAGCAAATCTCTTCACGCAAGTTAATGTTTACAAGAATGCAGAGGACGTTAAAGTGGGTGACACAGTCGGGCCGCGAGGGAGAATGAGAATACAAGCTTTGCCGTCCAAGCCTACCATGAACTCCTACGCGCAAATCACCGTCTGCCCGATCACAAAAGCGAGGTCGATAGCAACACTAGAATACGAGACCGCAGTTTATCAAGATAAGAAGATTCAATTTGAGGATTTGGTTCCTCCTGTGCTGATGCCCACGCGACAGGAGCCCGTCTTTGCGCCAGTACCCAGTCCAACACCCTCGATGCACGAGGCTGGCTGTGAATGCAAACCAGTCATGCAGGACTCTTCTTGTCTGGCAAAGTCAGTGCCGATGATATACGATGCAAGTGATCAGACGACTCCGATTCCGTCTCCTGTCGAAAAAATGCTTCAGGTGGACTTAAAAGTGTCTCCCGAACCCACTCTAATGGTCTCAACCTTGCTGCAGACTGTTCATCCATCTGTTCAGGACTTCACTACTGATCCGTGTCCCGGAAAGGAAATGTTCGATGCTGGCATTCAAATCTTGATGCCTGAAGCGGATATAATCCGGGCAGAACCTGTTCCTGTTGTTCATTCAGCGCCTCCGGCACCAATGGTGGAGTATGCTGACGCAGGGTGCGACGTTGTTTCAGGGCCAGAACTAAAGGACGCCTTCTTCCAGACCGATCAAGCACCGATGTTTGGTAAACAGCTGCAAGTCTCCACGACAAAACTTCATATTGATTGCTGTCAGACCGAGATCACCTTACAGCCCTCAGTCTCCTCCCTTGGAGTACAGGCCGAAGCAACTGCAGAACCTGCACCGGTCATTACGCCTGTCATTGCACCAGTTGTGAAGGCGGCGCCGCCGCTGCCAGCGGCTGATACTGAAGACAGGGGTTGTGATGCGGTCTCCGGAACTCAGTACTGGGACGCCTTTGTGCAGGCAGAGTTACCAGCAAAACGACCGCCATGCAGAGGAGTTCGTATGCAAGTCGGAATGTCTGCTACCGCCTTGAGGGACGTATCTAACCAGTCTATACCTGTTGTTATGGTTGGAAGCACGCAGACCTTGGACCAAACTAAGGTCGAAACTATGCCGCCCATGAAACGCATCGATGACGATAATATCTTCTCATTTACTCGCGAGACCGCTGCTCGTGTAACACATACCAGTTCACCAAATTCCTCGGGACTGATCCCCTATAAGACGCAGGTCTTTGCCTCTCCAAAGCAAATCTCAGCTAGTGTGCCTACAAACCTGAACGTTCGTGCCGAGGGAGGCAACGTGACCACCACCTCCACCACGGAGCAGCTCACCTATCGGCAAGTAGCCATCTGCTCTTACCATCCTCGTCGTTATGCAATAGGACTACGCTCACTATCATCTGGCAACTTGCACACTCGCAGAAATAGGTCTGCCGAAAAGATCGACGGTTATGCGACACATAAAAATCGGGGCATGTGTCGAAACTTTGTCAGTGACCACGAACTCTACACTGGCACCGCATGTGGACATTGTAGTCAGCATGCAGCTCTTCAGCAGTACGAAGACCAGCACCGGTGTACTGACACACTGGCAGCCTACGTCCGACGGCTGGGCTATGAGACAGTTCATCGCACTCTTGTGCAAGTTGCCCGAGCTCTGGAACTGGAGGAACTAGAAGTCACCTCTTACGCAGAGCACATCCGCAGCAAACGACCTCGTCTCCAGAATACCCAAACACAATACACTTCCACAACTAACCTCATGAATGCCTATCCAAGCTACTCCTCGCCATCAGCGTTCCCGGGCAAACATTTAGTAGGGTGGATTAGAAAGGCAAAATATCTGTCTGACCTGGTTCGTCCTCGCAGACAGGAAGCCACTTCCGGTGAGTTTATGAAGAGCCACGCACTCTCGGCCTACTGCTGTGATGCAGAACTCCAGGAGTCCGGAATCAAGACCAATTACTCCACCTACGATGCATTCACTTTTGTCTCCTGGCAGGCTACTGAACGCGGTCGTGGGCGACTGGAGTTGACAACACCTGGTCGACTGCTGAAGCTGAACTTGGTCGGAGCTCGGTTACCGGGTTCAGGTGAGATTTTGGCAGCAGCCGACGCCTTCTATCGCGGCATCCTTCGGATAGTCTACTTCAACGAAGAAATGTCAACCATGCTCTCGCTTCCGGCGGCCATCAACACTGGTCAAGTTATTGTTGAGAAGCAATATCCTCCGGGCGTCGGCATAGCTATTCGCGGAGATCATAACAGGTACCCGGTGGAATCAGAAGTTGTTTGGACTACACCAGAATTGCGTCAACGATCCTACAAGGTTAACTACATTCAGAAGTCTGAAACCGAGAAGGTTGACGTTCTTACTGCGTTGGAAGAGGGAATCATTGACCAATACAGTGGAGAGATCCTCAACATCACACTAGGACCATCTGCGAGCATGGTGGAGCGAATTCAAGAGGCAAGAGAGTCAAGCGTTGGATCTGGTGACACCGTTCTAAGAGTGCGAAATCCAGAACGATTCAGCATAAATGAGGCAATACTTAATGGAATTCTGGATGTCGAGTTCAACGGCCAGGAGACGAGTGTACGTGCCGATTTAACAACCAAGGGTACGCAGGACTCTAATGGTTCCAAATCGGACTCTGGAGAGCTTACAGAAGTTGACAGTTAAAATAGAGGATTAAATTTAGTTAAGGAGGTTTACACACCTCCTTGAACTATCGGAAACCGCATTTTGAGAAAATTGCTTATAATCGCAGTTCATGGTCATCTCATTTCTTTACTTCCATAACTGCACTCTCTAAAAGTCAACGGAATTTACAAAAATTGTCTTGTGATTGTATTTTAGAAACCTTTGCAGTCCTCTTTTCTGAGGAAAGCATATAGAGATGTGCCTAATCAGTATATATTCACCGGCCAGCGTCAGCATACGGAGAAACCCGAGGACTTAGGTCAAATTCATGCAGAAATACTGTCACGATTACTGCCCGTTAGGAATTTTCCCTATGGTGCACTTATTGCTTGATGACCTTCACACGGGTCGTTATCTACTGAAATTTCGTCATCCGTGTTAAAGGTTGGCATAATGATCGCCCTGTTACCTGGCTTACCTGCGCGCTTCCCGATTGGCTAATTGCTTTGGGTAATCTGAGTCGACTATAATTTGGGGAGGTCATTACACATGGTAATAGACTGAGCGCCCGTAAAACATGACTCAACCAACTTGAACCTTTGCCTAATTTATGCACACTGCTGCCGCTTATACCAGGACATGGCCTGTTCGCCATGCTCTCTTGGCCGCTGCCAGTGTGTCTTAGTTCTTTCGACTCGATCAAATAGAACAGCAAAATTTGACAAGAGTTAAACCAAAGCGTTACAGCGCGGCCTATGGCAAAAGAACAAAGCCACACACCGTGCCACGTGTCAGGCTGGCAACAGCATATTAGACAGGAAAGCCAATTAGCGCGGAAGGCAGCATACATCCCGCGCGATTCAGCCCTGCTGCAGATCGATAAGTCGATGTTTTCCCGAAAGTGATATTCGCGCACAAGCTGGCTCGCTGGCATCGGCATTGGTCAGTTTGTTCGCTTGCGCGCTTTCCGTGTGGCTGATTGTTTTTAGCCAAACTAATTCTCAGCACTGAATATGGGTTGTGGAGATCACTTCAGTTGTAAATAGATCGGAAATTCGTTAACCAACCGAGCCTATTTTATCGCAATTACTTATGCGCTCTTGGGTAACGTGAGTTCGGGGGTTATTGTCACTCAATCAATCAATTTTCGGCATCCATTTGTGGTCGAGGATCGGACCCCGAATACAGGTTCTTTGCCTTTGGGGTAAGAATAATTCATACGGCTCAATACTCGAGGTCATCTCATTATATTACTCGCAAACCGTTGTGGAATTCAGCGACACCCTACGAATTCTCGTCAGCTAAAATCAGGGACACATTGTTCAACGCCTTACCACTTACGGTTTCCTAAAAGCCCACTAAGTTATGCTCATTTACTCCGCGGGCCAAGGCCGTTGGCATCCTTGCATGCATACTTCATGCGTCTCAAAGGTTGTC